CTCCAACAAAAGCAACTAGCCACCAGCAACAGGGTCGATGCCTTTGAGGACCAAAGGAGGCGTTACAATCTCAAAATCCACAGAATACTGGGCACTGCTGGCCTAATAGACTTACCTCATTTCGTCAGGCGCATGATAGGCGTCTTGCTGCCACCCAAAAAGGCCAAGGCGATACGGCTCGACGGCATGTTCAGGCTACCAAAGCCAGCCTCCGCCCATATGGATCTGATCATCCGCTTCCAGTCCATGCAGAACAAAACTCTCCTAATGGCGGCTGCATGAGAGAAGGCTCCATTACAACTAGAAGGAGCCACACTGTCCATGTTCCCAGACACCACCAAAGGTACCATCGAGTGGCGCAGGACCCTGCGGTCGCTCCTGCCTCTGCTCCGAGACAAAAGCATCCAGTATCAGTGGGGGACTCCAAGAGCACTCATCTTCCAACATCAAGGAAAGACACACCGAGCCCGAGACCTCTCTGAATTGGAAACCCTTCTACGTAAACTGGGACTTGCAGGCCCTAATCAAGCAACAGCATTGGGACTTTCACAGCTAGATCCCACAACGATACCAGAATTTGTCCCCAGGTCAACAAGACGACCTACACCCTCGAGGTAGAAGACTTGGACGGCTGCAGGCAACCCGGGACTTATCGTCCAAGCTAAAGGACACTTTACCTGCAGCATGCAGTTTCCTCACTAACAAAAACCCATGACGGCACAGTTATACCAAGTTCAAACTCAATGTTTAAATTTGTCTCGGTTTCTAGACATACGCTTTACATATATGGGATTTAATGGCTACCTATAACTCATTCCCCACAACCTTGTGGATAGGCTTTACATACTCAACATGACATACACAAGAGCCCACCACAGACTGCTCTATGCCAATAGCCGACACTCCGGAAGCCATAGTATCACCCCCCCTCATCCAACACACGACGACACATCACTTACCCCCCGGAGTGAGAACGAAGTGAGAGGTACTCACATCACGCTTCATAGCCAGGAGCCACTCAACCCTCCTAGAGAGGAACATACAATAAAGCTACAGCCCCTATTTACGTTTCAACATGCTACAACTTAAACCCAAAAATGTTCCACATGCCTAACAGTGTCAGCAACAAGAGAAACCCTGTATCTGCCTATATGAGAACCATGTTATGTATTCTTGAACTTACTATGTGGAATGAAAAATAAATAAAAAAAATATTCATAAATAGACAATTACATGTAAAAATAATTACAATGCAAACAAAATCAGTGCAATACAAATAATAAAAACAAACAGAAGTGCCATCCAATTTCAGCTTCACAAATATATATAGCGTCGGCCAATCTGCAGTTTAAAAGAGAAGCAGAGAGCGGAGTTCAGCAGATGTCTTGCCAAAACGGTCTATGATTTTCTCTTTGTCTCTCTTTATGCTTAAAGAAACATCTTTCTCTATTGCAATAAGCATCAATGTCTCCAGGTTTTGCTGAGTAAGCGTTGATCTAAGTCTTGATTTTAGAATTTTCAACTTTGAAAAACACCGTTCACAGGAGCATTGTGTGGTGCTTAGAGTGATCAAGTACTTGTATGCCATATAAAGATTTTCATAGGCCGATGAACATAATCTGTACTGAAAAAGCAGCTTAAATGCACAGGATGTGCATTTTTGGCAGCAGAGTTTTTTCATAGAAGGCTTACAAGCTGATGGCTCAGAGTCAGAGAAGTCAGGTTCTTCCTCTCCAGCAGAGCTCAATGTTTCATCATCACTATCAAACAGTCCTCTGGAGAGATTTCTGTAACTTGATGCAAATGAAATCAATTCTTCACGAAGAACAGGGCCATCAATTTCAGGAACAGCTGTAGAAATGGCATCAAACTTTATTTTTTCAGGAGAAGCCAGTATTTCCTCAAACCGGTTTGGGTCAAAACATGAAATCTGCATGTAAAGTTTGCCATGAGTGGCAAACCTGGTTCTCATACTTTCCAAAACTTTATCACAGATGACATTGTAGCATGAAACTTCAAAGCTGTGTTGTTGATTTGCAGGAACTACACATCTTGTTGATCGGTGTTCTGTGAAAGATTTACTGATGGCAATGTCCTCTGCAGCTAGTTTTTCATTCAGGTGATCAATGAAAGTTGTAGCAGATCCACAGACTCCTGAAAAGTCTCTTGAAATTTTTGATAAACGGTTTGTAGCATCCTCAACCATTCGCCATGCCTGCATAATGTCAAGGGCTGGTGACTGCAAGTAATCTGACACGGGAGTAGTAATGTCAAAAATTCTTATAAATGTAAAAGTGGCCAGGATGGTTTCAAATTTACATAGGTTTTCATTTAGTTTTAGAGCTTCATGACGAACAGAATTTCTAAAATCAGATGAACTACTTACATGCTTCAGAACAAGGATGAGGTCAGAATATAATTCCTCAGAGTGGTTTTCATATGTTCCGCAAAGTTTTCGAAGGGCTCTGGCTTTGCTTGACCACCTGGTAGTACCAATTTTATCAAGTCTTTTCAGTTTAGCACTTCCAGTCTTGGCTTTCAGCTGGTCTTCCCAAATTTTGATCCTTTTGTAGGACTCAGAGAAAAAGGTGGACAAGTTACCAAGAAGTCCAAACAAACTCACTGCTGGAACACATACACTGCTTGCATCACATATAACAAGATTTAGGACATGAGCATGGCACCACGTATGAATGTGACTAGGACACACTTCTGTCATCAATGCTTGCAATCCTGTATATGTGCCACTCATGTTAGCAGCTCCATCAAAGGAATCACCAATACACTGCTCCAAATTCAGTCCAATGTCAGACAAAGAATCTCTTAGCAAATCATGCAAGCCCTTGCTGCTGGAGTCCTCAACATTCAGAAGGCGTACCAATCGCTCTTTAGCTTTATCTTCCACAACATATCGCACAACAATGGCACATTGATCATGTGCAGAGA